CAATCAATATCTGCTTCTCCCCAGCTTTAAGGCGGGGAGTAAGGCCCTCATATAAAGGAATTTGGCCCTCTTTTCTCTATCAATTCTGTTCTTAAAACTTCACTGCCCCATTCTCCCCCCATCTTCAGTTTTTCTACCATCCCACACTCAAAGATAAAAATCTCCCAGACGGTCCTAGATCTCCCCAGAATCCCTTTTTTAACCAAGCACTCAGAAGTCTCCTGCTTTTTTCCAAATCTCTTTTTCTTCAATATCACTTCCTAGTACTCTCAGCCCCAAATCTCTGCATAATATTCTTACCTTCCATGCCCCTTCCCTCCTAGTTTTTCCCAAGCTCTCCAATATTCGAATTTCCTAGTTCCCAGTAATCCTATCAACCCATCCCACCTAGCCCTTCCTAGCTTCCATAGCTACTCTTATTCCCCCAGTGTCCTAAACAATCCTCATGTAAGCCAGTCGTCAGTTCTTCCTCCTTCTCTACCTGCAGATTTCCCCACCTTCTCTCACTCCTCTCCAAAATTCCTTTTCCTCCCTGGCTTGTCTGCCTCATCTGCTCCCAGGACCCCCATCTTCCCTTCTAACCTCATCCCTGCTCCCCATTTCCCCCTCTATCTGTCCCCGGGAGGGACCTCACGCCTCCCCTCCTCTATCCCTTCTCATCACCCCGAGCCCTTCCGCGCTCTGCCTCTCCCGATGCCCCCGACTCATCCCCTTTCCGCTGCTCCGGCACCCCCGCACTATCCACCCACGGGGCTCCGCTGCCCCCTCACCTCTCCTCAGCTTTCAGCGCCCTGCGCCCGGCCCCGGTGGCCCTGTCCTGCCCATGCCGGGGGCTGGGGCGGGGAGCACTCGGCTCCCCGCGGGCTCCCGCCCCCCCCACCCCAGCTACAGCCCCAGCTCCCCCCTGGGCCTCCAGCCGCTACTTTGTGTCAGTTTCGGCCACGGCGGGGCGGAAGTGACGGAGACATCTGTAGAGGGCGGGGGGCGGGAGAGGGGGGATTTGGGGAGCGGGAGATGGGGGGCGGGAAGGTGGGCGCCGCCATCTTTGTGAGGGGCAAGGCGAAGGTCTTAACCCTTGAGCCTCTGCAGTCTTGTAGTGCAATCCCTTCTACCCCCACTGGTCGCCCCTCCCATCCCCTCCCATCCCCTCCCATTCCCCGTCCATGTTAGGGGCAGGAGGGCAGAGAGAGGTTAGTTAGGTTTTGGTTTTCTAAAGGGAACGAGAAAGCTGTGAAAATTTCTCTGCGTCTGGAAGGACTGCCCGAGCATCTCCTTTATGCTGTGGAAGGGGCGAGGCCGAGGAAGCGGTGAGTGAGGAGGGTCTCCCTCTAGAGGCTGCTTCTCCAACTTACCCCTTCTGCTCATGCCCTGTAGAGTTGCCCCGTGCCCTGCATTCTTCTCGCCTTAGCTCATCTCAGTGCATTCCTTCCTCTCCTGGGAGAAACTCTAAGAAGTCGATGTTGGGCCTCTCGTGCCTCAGTTTCCCCCATCTCCGGGCCTCGGGTGCTGGGAAGGGTGGAACCCTATAATTAGCAGCAGAGGCGGCACTAAGACCGCTCCTTAGCTGGCTCACTCATTCCCTGTCTTCCCCAGGTCTTCTAGTGTCCGGGACAGATTCCCCCACCCCTAATTAACCTTTGAAGGTGTCTGAGTCAAGGGGAGGAGCCCCATTGGTGGTAAGAAATGACACTCGGGTGACCAGAATTTAGCCAGAGTTGAACGAAATAGGGAATTTGGATATTTCTGGGGGCGAGGAGAGGGGTGGGAAAGGGGATGCCAAAGACCAGCGAAGCTTTCTCAGGCGTCAAGGATACAGTGTCCCACGTTTGTTTTCCCATTCGGCTCCCTGGTGTCCTGGCATCTAGCTATCTGCGTGTCGTCCTCTGGCGGTCATTTTTAAGAACTGACGCTCCCGGGAAACTCCCCCCACTCCCACCCTTTCCCCCAGCACACTCCTCCAAGCCTTCTTTGAGAAGTGTGGTGAGTGTACCTTAGTAGATGGCTTAAGAGATTCGAGACAGAAGACCACAGCCTCCAGGTAGTCTTCCCCATCCCACATACAAACTCTGCCCAGCGCAAAAAGGAATGCTGTCTCCAGTGGAATTACAACTATGTAACAATTCAGCTGTTCAACAGGGTCTTCCTACAGCAGTTTGAACCTATTTTCCACTCTCCCATCACTCATCTACCGCTATTTTCATCCAGCGCTATTGCAAGCAGGAGAGAGAAGAGGAGGAAAGTACATAATTATGCCCAGTGGGAGGCCCTAAAAAGACAGAAATTGTGAGGAAAAGGTAATTTGGGTCACATTTGTCTAGGAGATGGGAGAGACAGTCTAAATTATGGAATCCAAATTCTGAGAATGGCCCAGCTCTTTACCTTGAGGCAAGAAAGGTATTATTTTACTACTTTACAGAGAGCTAATAATAACTCACAATTTTCCAGCTCTTTAAGGTTTGCAAATCCTTCATATATATTGCCTCATTTGATCAACTGAGGTAACTGAGACTCAGAGCAGCAGAATGACTTGCCTGAGATTACACTGTTAGTTAAGTGGTAGGCAGTGGAGAGGGGCCTAGAATCCAGGTGTCCAGATTCTGATTACTGGGACCTTTCCATTCTATCCCTGCTTTTCAGTGATGTGGGAAGTAAAGGAGAAAGTGAGCACCAGGGAGGTTGAATGAACCAGAGACCCAGTGGAGAGGAGAAAACAGGGAAGAGGCAGAGGAATAGAGGGACAGAAGAAGAACACATTGAGAAGCTAGGAAAATGGAATAGGGAAGGTACCAGGGGAAGCAGAAGATGCAGGAAGAAAGTCAGTCAGTAAGTCCTTACCATGTGCCAGGCACTATGCTAAACTCTAGGGATACAAAGAAAAGCAAAAAGGAGTTCTTATACTAATGTCCTCAAGGAGTTCACATGCTAATAGAGGAAACAAAAATGAAAATAGTTTAACTAGGTATATGAGATATATGTATATATATATATATACATATATACATAATAGAGGAAATAAAAATGAAAATAGTTTAACTAGGTATATGAGATACATGTGTATATATACACATATATACATGTACATATAACATGTATATAAGGCATGTGCAATATACACACATATGTTACACATATATAACATGTGTGTGTTACACTGCCTTATATACATATATACATGTGTATATATGTGCGTGTGTGTGTGTGTGTGTGTGTGTGTGTATATGTAGAGAGAGAAAGAATGGATGTAATCTCAGAAAGGGAGGTACTAGCAGCTAGGGGAACCAGGAAGGGTCTCCTACTGAAGGTGGGATGTGAGTTTAAGCTTCAGGGAAGCCAAGATGCAGAAGACAGGAAGGAAAGTGTTCCAGGTATGAGGGACAGCAATTGCAAAGATATAGAGAAAGGAGATGGAATGTCATGTGTGAGGAACAGCAAGTAGATTGGTGTAGCTAGATTATAGGTTTTATAAAGGGGAGAGCCAAGTTATGAAGAACTTTAAACACCAGAAGTCTTCATATGTAATCTTAGAGATAATAGATATCCATAGATAGAGTTTATAGAGTAGGAAGATGATATGATCAGACTTATGCTTTTAAAAAATCATTTTGGCACCTTGTAGTAGAGAGAGGCATCAGAAAAGGAGGAGGAGGAGGAAGAAGAAAAAGAAGAAATACTTGCTGATGAGGGCCTGAGAAAGGGACATAAATGAAGTAACAAGAAATAACAAAAATAACAAGATTTGTGGAATACATGGGAATGAGGAATAAAGAATGATAATAATGTTGTGAGACTGAATAACTAGGAAGATGGTGGTACCTTGAACAATAATAAAGAAGTTTAGAAGAGGAAAGAATTTGGAGGAAAATCTGAGTTCTGTATTTTGGATATATTGAGTTTGAGTGTCCTCTAGGACATTGAGTTCAAGATGTCCAAAAGTCAGTTGGAGATAAAAGACTGGAGCTCAGAAGAGAGATCTTCATGAAGATGATAAATCCATGGCAGCTGATGTGCTCATCCAGAGAGATAGTATACAGTAAAAAGAGCCTATGACAAAGCTTTGAGGACTCATGGTTAATGGATATGGCATGGATGAAGGATCTAGCAAAAGAGGCTGAGAATGGGGTGATTAGATAGGTGTGAGAAGAACCAGAGGAGAGCAGTGCCATACAAACCTAGAGAGGAGGGAGAAGGTGATCGACATTATCAATGCTGCAGAAAGGCCAAGAAAGATGAAGGTTAATAAAAGGCTGTTAGATATGGCGATTAAGAGATTATTGGAGGAGCAGCTAGGTGGCGCAGTGGCTAGAGCACCAGGAGGACCTGAGTTCAAATGTGGCCTCAGACACTTCATACTGACTAGCTGTGTAACCTTGGGCAAGTCACTTAACCCCACTGCCTACCACAAAAAAAAAAAAGACAAAAGAAAAGAAAAGAAAGAGATTATTGGTAACTTTGAAGAGAGAGGTTCAGTTAAATGATGAAGTCAGAATCCAGATTGCAGAGTGTTAACAAGAAAGGGAAAGGAGGGGGCAGCTAGGTGGTACAGTGGATAGAGCTCCCACCTTGGAGTCAGGAGGACCTGAGTTCAAATATGACCTCAGACACATGACACTTATTAGCTGTGTGACCCTGGGCAAGTCACTTAACCCCGATTGCCTCACCAAAAAGGCAAAAAAAAAAAAAAGAGGAGAGGAGCTAGAGGAACCTAGTGTGATGACTTTCTCAATGAGTTTAATTGGGAAGGAAAGAAGAGATATGTAAGATGACAGACTTGAGACAGTGTGGAAAATAGAAAGAAGGCTGGAAAAGCCATAGGTTCAAGTCCCATTTCTCCCACTTACTAGCTGTGAGACCTTGAGCAAATTGTTTTTAACTCCTCTGCAGCTTGGTTTCACCAACTGGAATGGAAACAATCTATACACTACTTCACAGGGTTTTGAGGATTATATAAAGTTATCTATGGAAAAACACTTTGTAAGGTATAAAGTACTATGTACATTAAGTTAATAGTAAAAAAGGGAAATACTGGGGGTAGGGAACACCTCAGGTCCCCAGCCAGCCACATAGGTGAAGAGCTGAGGTCCGAAGTCTCAAGGAGGGTTAAGTGGTAAACCACAGTTGACAAGCATGGAGAGGCCAATGGCCAGAATCAGCAGCCTAACTGTCACTGGCTTCAGTTCCGCAGGTACCCCCTTATTCTTGGTGTCTGTGATGGCAAAGATGCCCACAATCAGCATAGCAGTGCCTAGAACCTTGGGAGAAAGGTTTTCCTGTTAGATGATCCAGGGCTCCCCTGTAACTACCCTTACATCCATACTTTTCAGGCTTCCCCCACACCCCACCCTCCACACCTTTATCTTTCTTTTCTTTTCTCTCTCTTTTTTTTTTTTGGCAAATGGGGTTAAGTGACTTGCCCAGAGTCACACGGCTAGTAAGTGTTATGTGTCTGAGGCCTGCATTTGAACTCAGGTTCTTCTGACTCCAGGGCCAGTGCTCTATCCGCTGCGTCACCTAGCTGCTCCCTATCTTTCTTTATACATCCCATACTCTCACTTCCCACACCCTTTGATTTTATCCTTGGTTGCTGAGGGATGTATCAAGGCAAAGAGATCAACTGAATATTCTATGTTAGGATAGCACAGGACCTAGGAAAACAATAATGGAAGAAAGATAAGGATTGGGGGTACTAGAGGAAAGGGGGTAGGGACTGGGGGAATGCTGGAGGAGAGGGTTGAAGAACATTGGGTATTTTGGTGTGGTCTCCCACTTCTACTCCCCCCTGGTCCAGGAAGCCATTTCCCAGGGACAGATAAGGGGCTAGGTAGGTGGCAAAGATAGAGGCTGTCTCTTTGGGGCCTGTCACTGTCAGGTTTCCACCATTATAGTTCTGCAGAGCATCTGGTTCAGGAAGTAGAGGCAATGGACATTCAGCTTGAGGTCCTCCCTATCAATGTACAGAGGGAGTTTCCCACATGTGAACTGAATATCCCCATCTCCATCCCTAAGGTACCTCCCCATAGTCTGGGCTTCTCTCTTATGAATCCTGAATCTTTGAAAAGGCTATTCCATACCATAAATAGAGGACATAGGTTACTCCTGAAGCAGAGAAGGCAGAAAGCAGCTGTACCAGTATGTAGATGGGAAGTTTGGCCCAAGGTAGACAACCCATGAGGCACATGGACAAGGAGAAGGCAGGATTCAGGTGGGCCCCAAGGGAACAAAGGTTGTGGCAGGAAGAAATAGAGGAGTGAAAAGCAGTCTAGAATGGGTTGGGAAGATAATATATACAGAGAGTAAGCCCCACCCTCCCTCACTGAGGGTCTCTTCTTTGCCAGTAGGGTCCAGTTTGAGGAGAGAGATGGAAGTTAGACCTAGAGAGAAAACAAGGAAAACTTGGAAAGTGAACTAGGGAAGGTAGGCAGAGTAGAAACGTTGGGGGAAAAGGTTGGAGAGATCCAAGGGCTTGCCAATACCATGTGAAGTGTCCAATAGATAATATTCATGAGTCAGTGACTTGGGTAGTATCCACTTCCTGTCATTCCTCCAATCTGGGGTCTCCTTACTCACCCAAGACATTGCCTTCCACATAGAGGGCCACCACCACAGCCAGGGTGCCTTCCAGGAACATGGTGAAGAAGTTGCCTTTGGTTTCTTCACTGGTAACAGCCTGAGCCACTGCCCCCCTCTGGGATGAGCTGATGAAGACAAGTGAGGAGGAGGGAAAAAATGAGAGGAAAGAGGATAAGAAAGAAGAGGAGAAAAAGAGAGGTAAGAAGGGTAGGGGAATATTAGAGAGATTAGTAAGGGAAGGAAAAAAGGTAGAATTGGTGAAGAGAGGGGAGGGAAAGAAAAGGGAGATGAGATGAAGGAATAGGAATAGAGGAAGGGAAGATTGGGAGAGAAATTGGGAGAAAGAAGAAATCAGGGAAAGCCTCAAGAGAAACAGGGTGGGAAGAGGAGAGACAGGGATGGGAAGAAAGAGGAAAGGAGAAAGGGCCAATGAAGGGAGAGAGGACAGGGAGAGGAAAGAACGTGAGAGAGGAGAAGGAAAGAAGGGATAGAGTAGAAGATGAACAATGAACAGTGCAGTATAGGAGATAATCAGAGAAAACTGGAGAGATGGCAAAGGGCAGAAAAAGACAATAAAGAAGAGAAAAGGAACAGAAAGGATGGGGAGATAGGGTCACAGGTAAGAATAAAAATCATTTCCTTTCCCACCCTCCTCTCCTCTTGATTACCCCCATTCAACCCACCTACTATGAGTACAAAGACACCCAGAAATTCAGCCAAGCACTGTCGGGCTAGGAAGTTGCGGATTTGGATCCAGGCCCTGATCTGGGCCAGGAACATAGACTGAATCATGATGAAAGATGTCAGTGGGAGCCCAAGGGGGCAACCTCTCCGTGGCCACTGATCATCCAACTGGCTACTAGACTACACAAATAACTGAAGATAACAAAGAGACTTTAAAACCAATTAACCCCTGTGTAGATCCTGCTCAGCTGAGGCTACGAGGCTACACAGACAGCCAAAGATAGCAAAGAGACTTTAAGACCAATTAACTACTGTGCAGTCGTCACTCTTGATAGTGGGCAAGGTTAAGGAAAAGTTCTCATGGCACCTACATGAACTATGTGCCTGGAATGTTCTGGGCTTCCTCATCTTTAACCCCTAAGTCCTTGCAGATTAGACAAAGGTTCCTATGGGGCAGCAGCATCTGGTAGTGGAGTGAGCACTTGGTGACAGTAGACCTGGGTTTGAGTCCCAGTTTTCCTACTTACTTTCGGCAAGTCTATTAACCTTTCTGAAACCAATTTCTTCATTTGTAAAATGGAGATAAGAATATTTGTTCAGCCTGTCTCATGGGTTTGTTGTGAGCAAAGTGTTTCAAGAACTATATAAACGGAATGTGTTGTTGTTCAGGCATTTCAGTCGTATCTGACTCTTCATGACCCCATTTGATGTTTTCTTGGCAAAGGTTCTGGAGTGGTTTGCCATTTCCTTCTCCAGCTCATTCTACAGATGAGGAAACTGAGGCAAACAGAGTGAAGTGATTTGCCTAGGGTCACTGTCTGAGGCTGGATTTGGAATCAGGTCTTCCTGATTCCAGTTCCCATGCTCTATCTACTACACCACCTAGCTGCCCACATAAATGGAAATCGTTGTTGTATTCTGAGACCCCAACAAGAATGGAGGCAGTAGCAGTATCTTCCATTCTACGGGTGTGTGTACACACACCAATCTTGGTGGAGGCCCTGAGACACAGTGCAACTTACCCAAGGCCCCCAATATTTTGGGACTCAGACTCTCTTATCTCCAATCCCCTGGATAACCCTCAGATCCTTTGTTGGCTCTGGGATTATCCAGGGGCGCTTCCTTGGCACCCATGCCTGAAATGCTCTCTTTCCTTACCTGCACCTCCTGGTTTTCCTGACTTTCTTCAAGTCACAGCTAAAAATCCCGCCTTCTACAAGAAGCATTTCCTGGTCCTTCTTAATTCTAGTGCCTTCTCTCTGTTGATTACCTTCAGTTTATCCTGTGTATGATTTATTTATACATCCTTGTTTGTGTGTTGTTTTCCCCACTAGACTGTGAGCTCCTCATGAGCAGGAACTGTCTTTTGCCTTTTTTGGTATCCTCAGGGCTTAGCACAGTGCCTGGTTACATGACTGATTGTTGACTGAGGTCTTAATCTAGTTTTTCCTCTGGTAATGGAAGTGAGCATCTCCTGCCCACATGGATCTCTCTTCTCTGAAGGAGGTTTCAAATGACACTTCAAAAACTCAACATATCCCAAACCAGATTCATTCTGTTTTAGCCTTCTTCCTAATTCCTCCCTTCTGACTTGTGATTTTTATCAGTGTTCTGTCACTGCCAGTACCAATCACCCATGGTATTGAATTGCTGTCAGCTTTCATTCTTCCCACTCTTTCATCCCCACATTTAGTTGTTAAACCCAGTTATTTCTATCTCCATATCTTTTTTGCATCCAGCCCCTCTTATAGTCCATTGTCATGCCAGGGCCTTCTAATGTAACGTAACATTTTATCTCTGGTCTCCATGCATACCTTTGCATGCACTATACCCCTTTGTTTGAAATGCATTCCCTCCTCACCTGAGCATCTTTGAATCCCTGGCTTTCTTCTGGGCTCAGCTCAGACATCATCTCCTACAGTCAGCAGAGCCCTCTTCCCCCCACACAATATGGCTTTGTATTTACTTTACGTATATTTTGTATTTACTTATTTGTGTCCACATTGCCTTACTTGATAGAATGTAAACTCCCTGGGGGAAGGAATTGTTTCATTTTTATTTTTGTATCACTAATCTAGCAGAGTGCAGGGCACAGCCTAAGGACTTAGGAACTTATTAATAGATGATTGTTGAGTCTTTCCACTCTTCCTCTCCATTTTTCTGCCCATCCATTCCATTGACAGCTTAATTTTTTTTCTAATGTACTGATCACAGATCATGTTAAATGTCTGATCAAATCTCTCAAAGGCTTCCTAATACCTACCAGATAAAGTTCAAACTTTTTAGCCTGGCATTCAAGTTTGAATAGCTGAGAGGTAGATTGTCTAGTGGTTAGAGCACTGGACTTTCAGCCCAGAAGAAATGGGTTCAAATTGCACCCTCTGAAACTTATTAGCTATTTGTCACTTAATCTCTTTGAGCCTCAGTATCCTCATGTGTTAAAAATGAGGGTAATAATATTTGAAATACCAACCTTACAGGATCATTATGAGATTTAAATGAAAAAATGTAAGAGTAACAGAAGTTCCTAATGCCTTCCAGAAGGAGAAATGGATCAATGAGAAAGCTTGGGGTAGATAGGAATTATGTTTCCTCTAATCATCAATTTACTTCTCTTTGCAGGATCCAGAGTCAGGAAGACCTAAGTTCAAATCCAACCTTAGACACTTACTAGCTGTGTGACCCTAGGCAAGTCACTTAACCTCTATTTGCCTCAGTTTCCTCATCTTTAAAAAAGGGGTGATAATAATAGCACTTATCTCCCAGAGTTGTGAAGATGAGTTAATATTTGTGAAGTGCTTTGCAAACCTTAAATCACTATATAAATACTAGCTATTACTATTATTATCATGATCATCATCACCATCCCTGAAAAAAATTCTCATCTGCCATTCCAGGTCACTCTTTCCACACTACTGGCAAAGTAAGAGGTCCCCTAACTTCCCACTGCTAGCCATTTTCTGTTCCCCATGTCTGAAGGAGCCACTGTCACTGCAGTCTGAACTGAGCATCCTGAAGGATGAGTGGGGAAAGATCCTTAGACCTGCAGAGAAACATGCAGATATGAAGCAAAGCCTGCATCAAGGCTATGAATGACCTGGGAACAACATGGGGTCAACAGGGCACGATTGGGTATTGTAGTAGTGAAATAGACTAGGGTCCAGGAAAGATCAACCCAGTAGTTGCCATGAAACCTCAGCCTCCAGGGAGACTGAGCCAAGAGCCCAATCCCTATCACTGGGGTTTCCTCCTTATTTTTCTGGGACATCTTCAGAGCCAGTTTCCAAACAATACGCTCTTATTCTTTCTCCCATCTGCTTGTTGGAAAGAGGTTTGAAGAAAAAGACAATTGGGTAGAGAAGTTTCTTTACAGGTTTGTTGTGCTCTTTTATCATCACTTTACCACATGTTAATAAATCACAAGGACATTAAAAAAAAAGTCATCCATTTAAGTCATTTTGTCTTAGTCTTATGAATAAAATGGTTGATGGAAAGCAGATTTCCCAAATGCTGGGTGGAGGTAGAGCCACAAAGACAGCCATATTGAGATTTTCCTATATCCCATATTTCAGAGTAGCATTCCATTTCTTTTCTTCAGACTAAACTGAATCTAACCACCACAATCATGAGTCCTGGCCCAATTCAGGGCAATGGAAAGGATAGTAGTATAAGGGTACCTTAAGCTGAGTACCTTTAAGTGTGCTGTCATTCAGTCGTGTTTGATTCTTCATGACCCCATTGGGGTTTTCTTGGCAGAGATACTAGAGTGGTTTGCCATTTCCTTCTCTAGCTCATTTTACAAATGAGGAAACTGAGGCAAATAGAGGTTAAGTGACTTGCTCAGGGTCATATAGCTAGCTAGTAAGTGTCTGAGGCTGGATTTGAACTCGGGAAGATGAGTCTTTCTGATTCCAAGCCAGTGCTCTAACCACTGCACCACCTAGCTGCCCCACTCTTTAGTTAGCAGTGGGGAATATTATAATACCACAGCCTCTTGGGAAGCTAGTGGCCCACATTGAATGTCCTCTGACTCTGCCCCTTGGCTGGTGGTCTGAAGATAGTGCCAACTTGTGGCCAAATTTTATATTATATTTCTTTGCTCAGCATTTAATTAATTAATAATATGACAGCCTGCTTCTGTCTAGATTACAAAGAAAGAAAATGAGTCAGCTGTGGCTGCTATTACTATTGCAGCCCCACAAAGCCCACTCCAACTGCCAAATACGTGAAATTCTATAATTATTATTATTTATCTTGTTCTTACCTTTTTCAGTGGAGCTCAGATATTAGTAGTCCTGAGACAAGGAACTATCCTGCTATTTGTTGTTCAACTGTGTTGGACTCTTCATGACCCCATTTGGGGTTTTCTTGGCAAAGATACTGGAGTGGTTTGCCATTTCTTTTTCCATCTCAGTTTACAGATAAGAAAAATGAGGCAAACAGGTCACACTACTAGTGTCTGTGGCCACATTTGAACTAATGAAGATGAGTGTTCCTGACTTGGGACCCAGTCTGTGCTTTATCCACTGCCCCACCTAGCTTCCCCACTCTGTTATTAATTTTTTACTTTTAATGTTCTGTAGACTGTTGCATAAGTAGATAACATATCTGTTCATCTGTAATTGAATGAAACAATTAAGATAAACGCTCATCTTCTGTAAGCTCACTGAAAATATCTTTGGGATTATTTCAATAGTAGACAGGATACTGGGATGATATGTACTTCATCCTGTTCCCACATTCTTTTTTATTTCTTCTGCTGGGTTTCTACATTCTGGAAACTTTTCCATTTAGTTTGGACCTTATGAGTGTTTTTGAATCAATGTTTTGTTCAGGCAATTGGGGGTAGTGTCTCTGTCTGTGATAATGATTTGGTTCCACTACAATTTATTTGGTGAATTCTCAAGGATCTTTTGAAGTCTGTATTTTTTATATGGAGATTTGTCATCTATTATTTTATGAAAGATAAAAAGTTTCTGATGTATGATTCTGGCCACCAGGGTATTTTGTGGCTGCTAAATTTTCACAGCTTTCAGTGAGGTGTTACATAGTTTCCACCATTTCCTTGCATTAACTGAATTGACCAATAAGCCCAAGATTATTAAGGA